CCCTCACTCCCCCCTCCCTGCAGGTGACAGACAGGGACAGCGAGGCCATGCTGGCCACTGTCCCCTGCCTGTCCCCTGTCCCCTGGCTGTCCCCTGAGTCCCCTGTCGCCTGTCTGTCCCCTGGGTGTCCCCTGGCTGTCCCCTGAGTGTCCCCTCTCCGCAGGTGACCGAGGGGGACGGCGAGGCCGTGCTGACCATGGACGCTCTGCGGCAGCGCTTCCCCAACCCGCAGGAGCTGGTGGGACATTCCCTCTACGTGTCCGTCACCGTCATCACCGAGTCAGGTCTGCGGGGACACGGGGGGGGACACCTGGGGTTGGGGACAGGGAGGATGGGGACACCCGGAGCCACCCCAGGGCTACCAGAGCTGTCGCTGATAGGGGGACAGTGAGCCCTGGCACGAGGGGATGTGGGGCTGGGGACATCTGGGGTTGGGGACAAGGAGGATGGGGAGACAAGAGGTTGGGGATGGTGAGGGCAGGGACACCTGGGGTTGGGGACAGGGAGGATGGGGACACCTGGGGCCACCCCAAGGCCACTGAGGCTGTCCCTGGGCAGGGGACAGTGAGCCCTGTCCCCGTGTGACACGACCATGCCCCCGGTGCCCCAGGCAGTGACATGGTGGAGGCCCAGCGTGGTGGCATCCCCATCGTGACGTCGCCCTACACCATCCACTTCACCCACACCCCCAAGTACTTCAAACCGGGCATGCCCTTTGACCTCCGGGTAAGGACACCTGGGGACAGCGGGGACACTGGGGACAGCGGTGGGGACAGCAGGGACACCTGGGGACAGCGGGGACATTGGGGACAGCGCTGGCATCGGCCCAGGGCCCCCAGGGACCCCGTGATGGGGATGGGGACTGGGAGGGACTGGGGGATTTTGAAGGGGGGAGGGGACTTGAGGACCAACATCTGTCCCTGTGTCACGTCCCTGTGTCACCTGGAGAGGGTCTGGGGACCCTGGGCTGTCCCGGTGTCACTGGGGTGACCCCTTCCCAATGCCCCTTCCCAGTGTTCCCAGTGCCCCTTTCCAGTGCCACCCACCCCTTCTCAGCGTGTCTTCCCAGTGTCCCCAGTACCACCACCCCTTCCCAATGCCCCTTCCCAGTGCCCCTTCCCAGTGTTCCCAGTGCCAGTGCCCCTTCCCAGTGCCCCTTCCCAGTGCCCCTTCCCAGTGTTCCCAGTGCCTGTGCCCCTTCCCAGTGCCCCTTCCCAGTGTTCCTAATACCCCTTCCCAGTGTTCCTAATACCCCTTCCCAGTGTCCCAATGCCACCCACCCCCTCCCAGTGCCCCTTCCCGGTGTTCCCACTGCCCCTTCCCAGTGTTCCCAGTGCCACCACCCATTCCCAGTGCCCCTTTCCCCTGCCCCGTGCCCCCGTGACGTCCCCCGTGTCCCCTCCAGGTCTTCGTCACCAACCCGGACGGGTCACCGGCCCCACGTGTCAACGTCCAGGCCGACGGGTTCCAGGGCCTGGCGTCCACCCAGCGCGACGGCACCGCCCGGCTCGTGGTCAACATGCCGGCCAACAAGGACAGTGTCCCCGTCACCGTGAGTGGGGACACTGGCTTGGGGAGGGACAGGGGTGACACCTCTGTGGTGACCTAGACCTCCATGGTGGCCAAGACCTCTACGATGGCCTAGAGGTGGCCTAGAGCTCTACGGAAACCTAGACCTCCACGGAGGCCTAGATGTCTCTGTCAGCCAAGACCTCTTCATTGGCCAAGGCCTCTCCGTTGGCCAAGGCCTCTCCGTTGGCCAAGGCCTCTCCGTTGGCCAAGACCTCTCTGTTGGCCAAGACCTCTCCTTTGGCCAAGACCTCTCCCTTGGCCAAGACACCGTGACCTCTCCATTGGGCATCCCTTGGCCCAGACCTCTCCGTTGGCCAAGACCTCTCCTTTGGCCAAGACCCCTCCCTTGGCCAAGACACCGTGACCTCTCCATTGACCATCCCTTGGCCAAGACCTCTCCGTTGGCCAAGACCTCTCCGTTGACCAAGACCTATCCATTGGCCACGACCTCCATGGAGGCCAAACCCTCTAAGCCAAGCCCCGCCCACGTGCAACCCCCTCCCCGCTGACGGGGTGTCCCCTGTCCCCCCCAGGTGCGGACGGTGCAGGAGGGGCTGCCCCCCGAGCGCCAGGCGTCGCGGCAGATGACGGCCCAGGCCTATCGCAGCCAGGCCAACTCCGGAAACTTCCTGCACTTGGCTGTACAGGCCACGGAGCTGAGGGCCGGGGAGAACCTGCCCGTCAACTTCCACCTCAAGACCAACAACAACGCCGTCCGCGACGCCGTCCAGTACTTCACCTACCTGGTGGGTGTCGACCCGGCTCAGGGGTTGGGATGACTGGGAGGACTTGGCTGAGTGACCAATGACCATGACCAAGGGGATCAATGACCATGACTAGGGTGACCAATGACCATGGCCGAAGTGATGAATGACCATGACTAGGGTGACCAATGACCATGGCCGAAGTGATGAATGACCATGACCAGGGTGACCAATGACCATGGCCAAGGTGATCAGTGACCACAGCCAAGATGATCAATGACCACAACCATGGTGATCAATGACTATGTCCAGGGTGACCAATGGCCATGTCCAGGGTGACCAACGACCATGGTCAGAGTGACCAATGACCATGGCCAAGGTGACGAATGACCATGGCCACCAATGACCACAGTGACCAACGACCGTGGCCAAGTTGACCAATGATCATGGCCAAGGTGACTGATGACCGTATCCAGGAGTGGTCACCAAGGGCCAGCACAGCAGGATGGGGTGACCGCGACACCCTGGCCCCCCGAGGTGGCCGAGGGTGGGCTGAGGGGTCATGCCGGTCACTCGCCGCCCGGGTGGCCACCACCAACCCCGCATTCCTCGCCCGCCCCAGATCATGAGCAAGGGGCGCATCGTCCGCGCCGGGCGGCAGCGCCACGAGGCCGGGCAGAGCCTGGTCACCATGAGCCTGCCGGTGACCCCCGAGCTCGTCCCCTCCTTCCGCATCGTGGCCTATTACCACGTCCTGCCCGGAGAGATCGTGGCCGACTCCGTCTGGGTGGACGTCCAGGACACCTGCATGGGCACCGTGAGTGTCCCCCCCGGTCCCAGAGGGGTGGGGAAGGGACCTTGGGGGTCTTGGGGGGCTTTGGGGGACTTTGAAGGGGTTCTAGGGGTCTCCTGAAGGTTTTTTGGGGTCTCCACCACCCCTGGGGTCGGGGTATCCCCACGGGTCAGGTTCTGGGGGTCTCATGAAGGGTTTTGGGGTCTCCACCACCCGTGGGGTTGGGGTTTCCCCATGCGGCAGGTTTGGGGGTCTCTCGAAGGTTTTTTGGGGTCCCCAACACCACACCCCTGGGGTCGGGGTATCCCCACAGGGCATGTTATGGGGGTCTAATGAAGGGGTTTTGGGGGTGTGACAATGGGTTTTGGGGTCTCCACCATCCCTGGGGTCGGGATTCGCAACGGGGCAGGTTTGGGGGTCTCACAAAG